TACTTTTTGAAGCAATCTTCCATCATTACAAGTCAAAACTAAGTAGTTGGATTTGCGGTTGAGATTCTACCTCACAACAAGAAGCATTGAATAACATTTTGTACTATTGAACAGTAGTTTGTTGAGACTCTAAAAGACGCGCTGACATGGAATTTGCTTTCAGTGGAATCAACCCTTTGGAATTTAGTGACATTGTGGCTCTAATAACTGAATAGTCACAATGTTGTGTGTTGTGTCAAACAAATGAGTGAAAAAGAAGTCCCTGCACATAGTCATCTATTGGAGACCATCAGTGTGACTGACTCTAATTTGGGGAGGCTTTATTGGCAGCGACACAAATGACAGGTGCCGTCTGATTTTATGCCTCATGAGGGGGAGACAAAATATTTGTCCTTCCCTACTCTTGTAACAGATCCCCTACAAATGTTTGACAGCTGTGTGTGTGTGTGTGTGTGTGTGTTTGTGTGTGTGTGTGTGTGTGTGTTTTAATGTACCCTGAGGAGAGGAGGGAGGTGGGACAGGTCAGAGTCAAGGCACTTAGGATGATTAAAATCTCTCTCTACTGCAATACCTCCTCCTTCTCCTTATGTCCCTTTTACTTTCCTCTTTACATTCCCTCTACTCTCCCCTCCCCCTCTACTTGTCATAGACTGCTGCAGTACACCAACCTTGTTAACCAAAGGCACGAGGAGAATAAGAATTCTCCTGTATTGCTCACATGAAAGAAACACATCAAGACTTCTTGTCTTGTAATTTAATGCTAAAGACAATAAGAATTCTTATTTCTTCACTGTGAATCTCGCTTTTTTGTCAAAAATGGATCAATGTACCTGAAGAATACAATTAGTTGTCGAGTTATTAGATACACCCACCTGAAATAAATGCAGTCTACTACAGTCCTGCAATACAGTTGCCTTCTTGTAGATTTATTTAACATTATGTAATGTTTAGTTTTCACAAAAATAGTTCCAGATAGGTATGGATCATTTTTGTGGTGTTCTTGTATTGTAATCGCTTGAGAAACAAAAATCTCTGCACTCTCAAACTTTGCTTTGTCAACTTTGTCGACTGCATTACAGTAAAATACCTTAGATTGTATTGCATTCTGGGTAATTGCTGTCATTTTACAGGAGATTTTAGGCTTGGTGTGGTACAATATGCCATGTCAATGATGCAGGATGGCTGAAAAAAGTGACATCATACAGACCACCACTCTGTAGCAAAGTTACCTAGCTTAAGTTTCAGACAGATCCATTATGCCTCCATGCCGGAAATAGCCAGTGGTTCGAGGCATATTGTTTTTGGGTTGTCCGTCCGTTCGTCCATCCCATTCTGAACGCAATATCTCAAGAATACCTTTTAGGAAATTTCTACAAATCAGTACAAATATTCACTTTGACTTAATGATGAACTGATTAGATTTGGTGGTAAAAGTTCAAGGTTACTGTGATCTCAAAAAGCAAATTTTTTGCCTTGTGACTGTACTATCTATATATGGAACAAATCACATTTGCCACAAACATTCACTTGAACTTGGATTTTATTTTGCAGCTTGATGGAATGTCTTCAAATTTGGTACAAGCATTCACTTGGACTCGAAGATGAACTCATTTGATTTTTTGTGCTGGGGGGGGTCAAAGGTCAAGGTCACAGTGACCTCATGTCCCTGTGAATGTGATGTATTAGGACTGCACGTAGGAAATGTAATAACATCATCTAATACAATTTACTTGGACTCACTAATTAACTGTGTAGATTTTGGTGGTCAAAGTCATGGTGGCCACTCTTGTATGTGATATCTCAGGACTGCTTGACTGCTTGATCAGCTGTTACTTGGACTAAAACATAAAGTGATAACATTTCAGTGGTCAAAGGTCACAGTAGGGTGGACACGTGATGGACAGAATTCACTGTTGATGTAGTTTACACCGTAGGAGTTCTCTGTAATCAGAAAAAGTTTGTAAATAAACGCACAACGAGAGGTGCAGCAAACGAGAAATGAGAAATTTCCTGACTCTTCCATCCCATTGTCTCCTACAGTGGTGACCTTTACTTAGTCCATTTACTCTCACCCTCTGAGATCTACATCTTAAAAAATGTACAATCCAACTTACAATGTACATCAAGGTTAAAATAAGTAAGCTATTTCCAGGCTCAAACATGGGGCTGGGTCGTTTTTAAATGAGATGAAAAGTCTACAAACAAAAGCCTAGCATGTGTGTCAGGACCTTCTGGGTGATTGTGCAAAAAGTTGAGTAATGCAATCGGTACGTCCTGTACACCCATCCCAGCCCTATATGTAAACTGTATGGGGTCCAGATCCTCACCTACCCTTTCCAGCAGTTCCCTCTTGACCAGCCTTTCAAATGACTTAATAACCAATGATGTCAGTGTCATTTAGTTCCTAAGGTTTTTCTGTTCTTAGCCACTGGAACAACAATGGACTCCTTCGATAACTTTTGTACCCTAATCAACTCCAGAGACATCCTAAATATATGGTAAATGGTAAGTGGTCTGTATCTATATAGCGTTTTTCTAGTCGTCATGACAACTCAAAGCACTTCACAGTCTAGCTTCACATTCACCCATTCACACAGTGCATCTATGTTCAGCATTTTTCTCTATGAGAACAGGCAATTTGGGGTTAAGTGCCTTGCCCAAGGACACTTCAGCATTCGGAATGGGGAAGACTGGGATGGAACCGCCAACCTTCTGGTTAGAGGATGCCCGGCTCTATCATGAATCAGTAACACACTGCTGGCACAGCCGTCAGGGGAAATTTGGGGTTCAATATCCTGCCCAAGAACAATTCGACATGCGGAATGGGGGACCTTATGGTTAGTGGACAACCTGCTCTTACTTCTGAGCCACAGCCACCGATAAAAAAAAAACGAGATCAGTTAAAATTGGCCAACTTTAACCAAAAAACTCACAAAGAGGCTTTGCGAATACTGACTCCTTGAGCATACTTCCAGTCATGAGAAATCACAATACATGACTTCAGGTTGTAGTTGGGGATAGGTCTCTTAAAACAATTTTTTTTTACCTGACCCAAAGGTATTGCCTAAAATACCAAATATGTGACACTCAAAACCTGGTGGACACATTCTTATGAAATTCAGTAAACACGTTTTGGGGTATTTACCTAAATCTGAAGAGTGTTTAGCTTTGTATAATTTAGTATTTATCATGCAAATGTTACAAAAATCAAATATGGTGGACTTGTCCATGTGGTTCTTTTGTAGAGCACATTGAGCTGGACTGGTCAAGTTTCAAGCCAATCAGCCTCACAATGTTTTATTTTTTATTCATAATTACAACACAACCATCTCACTGAAAGGTCAAATATTTCTTGGGAGCCTAAAGCAGAAAGATAGACATAGAGATAAACAAATGTCCTTATTACAATACACCTGCATAATTCTGCTCCCAAAAAACATGGGGGCCTCCATAGAGAGGGTCCCCTTGATGTAAATATAAAGTATTTGAATATAAAGGGCCTTTTCTGGGGTAAAGAAAACTACAATTCATACAATTTAGATGAAATGAACTTGTGAAAACATCATGAGGATTATTCTACATTTAATATCTGACAATAGTTCCCTTTCACCTCAATCTTACACACTGGACCTTTAACGTTATAGTTTTAATTTTCAGCTATAAAAACAGTCAAGTTCAGGACGTTGTTGTAAAAATAAGTGGGTTGTATATTTTTATGGAGGAACATGTATGTACATATATGCATGAATCGTTTGGCATATAGGTAAGAGACAATCTTCTAAAACTTAAATCAAAACAGGAAGAAACAAGAAATATAAATTTGATATCTCTTTATCGGCGGACAGTATTTTCAATTCAAAGAAACATAAATAAACAAGCTATTTAAAAAAAAAAAATATCTTGATTCTTGTTCTGATTTCTAAAAGTCAGATAAATGCTGCTGGGACAAGAACAGCTGCTCAAACACTGTTTTAATGTTGGTGACAATGTTGAACATTGACAGTAAAGGCTTGTGGTTCTTTTACAGTGTGCCTCTGACATAACGTGGGTGTGTTTCCCCCTCACACATCATGGTGTGTTATCAACAGAAAAGAGAAGTGCATTGATTTCACTGAGATGTGAAAACACTTGAGGATATGTGGTTGAAGTAAAAAAAGTGACTTGACAGCTGCCTGCTGTAACCCCGCCCCTGCAGCCGCAGTCAGACCAGTCCAACTGGAACGGACCGATTCTGTTTGACAGCACACTCCAACGGGGGTGTTCTCGCGAGACCCCTGCCTGTACTATGTTTACATGCAGTACTTATCGGCAGCAGTCTCCCCCTACCGTCACTGCCTTACGGTCTGGCTGAATGAATGTTGAAGACGGGCGCCGCAGCTCGGAGGAGGCATTTCCGACATTTCGTCTCTGACAGTCGGCAGTCTGACACCTCTGCTTCGGGAAACATTTCAGTCCAGCCACGGACTCCGGTCCCGCGTCGTCGTCTGCGGACCCAACAGACCGAGGTAAGGAAGACACAAAGTCTGCAGGGTCGTCGATGTCGCTTTGCTTTGCAGGGGCAGTCAGGTAAGAAACACTGGTGCCGATCCTGCATTGGCAGCCGGTGACATTTCGCAGCTGCCATGGGATTCATTTGTTATTGCGGAATAAAAGCATGCATTTCAACATGCATTTCAACAGCCAGTGTGCATTTGCCACCATCGCGCGATAGCTTCAAATCTATGTATCGCACAGTAATAAATCATCACACATCTCCACGATGATGGTGATGGGGATGGTGGGATGCCCATGGATCTTTAGCCATGGTTACGAGCTGGTTCTCCGGTCAGCCTGTTGTGGGCTGCGTGCTTTTCTCCAACATGGCAGAGCGTCAGGCCAAACTCCCTTTTATATTCAGGCAATTTCAGGTTCACTTGCTTGTTAGCAAATCTCCCGTGCTCATGGAAACGATCGGGTGGAATTTTTTAATTCGACAAAAGTAGTGTGTATTTTCGGCAGGGATCTAACCGCGTAATAACAGGTTTTATTGAAATTGCATTGGTATAACTGACGCTGCTCTCTGGAAGCAATAAGCATGCTGCAAATAAAGGTGTAAACGTAGTGAAGTGGTAAGAGGTGCTTTCCCTGCCTCTATGTCTCTCTCAGCCAAACATACACAAGCAGCAATCGATATCCATAACCCTGTGAAAACCCCCAAGTTTGTCATGGTTAAATACTGAAATCACAGATGTTGGGAATACTACTTCATAATACATGTGTAGCAATATTGTGTGTTTTGCATCAAGAGCTAAATGGTTAATTGCAATGACTGACTCAGCATTATTAAATGTGCAAATAGATTATAATTGTTATCAAAGGCATATGCATATGTTTAGTTGCATGTGTCATGTCAACAATGATCTCATTACAAAAGCAGTATTATCTTGCATGCTGTTAAATCTCTCAGGTAAACAGCCCTGTGTGTGGTTGCAGATAAGATATCTTCTCCATGGTCTCTTGTGTTGCATATTGCATAACAGTCATGCTTTCAAGGATGCTGCATGTTGGCTGAAGTCAAAGGATAGAAAAGCTGAAGCGCAGTTAGTGAGTGATGTATTTGTGTCTTCTGTGATTTAAACAAAGTGATTCTTGCCATTTCCTGCCCTCCCGATCTCACCGTAGACTGAATTTGATACTTCTGTAAGTTACAAGGAAATGCATTTTGGCAGTTGGCAGGGCATGCATTCCTTATCTACATTCTCAATTGAAGGACTGCCAAAGTGTTGTCAGGCTTGCAGGTTTGCTGAGGATGTAAATGTTTGTGAATGGTTCATAAATGTATACTTTAATTAAAAAAAAAAAAATCAGTATTTTAGTGAAGTTAAACAGCAAGAATCTGTTAAGGGCTGTTTTCAGTTGTGAGTTCATAAAATTTGGTTAGTGAGTATTTCAGGCAGCAATGTGGGACTGAAGATATATTTTTACGAACTGTCCTGGCTTGAGTGCTTAGAGTGTATGGGTTTGATGTGCACAGAGGATCAGTCTGGCTGCACTCAAGCACACCTACAGTAAATTTTGGTAACTGCACTCAACAAAAATATAAATGCAACCGTTTTGTTTTCGTTCCCATTTTTCATAAATTGAAGTAAAAGATTTATTTCTCTCAAATGTATTAAAATCTGTGTAAGTGAATACCTCACCTTAACAAAGATAGTCTGTCCAACCGACAGGTGTGACATTAAAAGATGCTGATTATAAGGCATGATTATTGCACAGATGTGTCACAATAAAAGTCCACTCTAAAATATTCCGTTTATGGTAAACTGATTGTATTTATATTGAGCTTTTCTAGTCTTAATGCACTCTACAGTACAGTTTTGCCATTCACCTATTAACACACACATTCATACAGTGCATCTATTAGCAGCAATTTTTGTTCTATGAGTATAGTACAGTTTATCTTGAAGAAAGAACTTTATTAGGCAACAAACTGCAGTTTGACATAGGGTATTTTTTGGGAGGGCAGTCAGTATCTGGAATGACCACAATTTCTCACATGCAGTGAGACACATCTCCCTCGCATAGAGTTGATCGGTTTATTAATTGTGGCCTGTGGAGTATTGGATCACTCCTCTTCAATGGCTCCATTGATCCAAAGCTCCCAAACATCATAGGTGACATGTGTGGTGAGTATGCAGGCCATGCAAGAACTTGGATGTGGGGCCAACATGGGGCCATGCATTATCTCTCAGAAATCTCTGTCTGTTTGTATGTGGCTCGCATTTATGGAGAACTGTTCATCTTATTGGTCTCACAGTTTGGCATGTGTATAAAGGGCACAAGGAAGTGTAGTGTCAAATTTGGTGCGATGTGGGCATGTGATATGTTCGATATTAATAGACTTTTAATAAATAGCCGACCAGTGCTCTTCCGCAGTGGTGGCTGGGACTCATTAATGTAAGTGACATGGATCATGTCAGCAGCACATTCCCGACTATGGCAGTGGCAACCTATCCTCCTTTTTGGGGTTCAGTGTGAGGCACTGCAGTAGTAATGGAAAAAATTTATTGTATTTGGATGCAAATTAGTTCAAAAGAGCTTCATCTCCACCACCTACAACAGTCCAATGATCAGGAGGGTGTTGTCGAACACAAAGATGAAAACAGGACCATTGCAGAGGGTGAGGGCTTATACAGGACTGCTGCGGACAGCGTTGGTGAAGGCAAAGATGAAGGTGCAACCTCTCTGAAGGGCAAGCAGGATGCTTACAGGAAAGCTGGATCTCTCTGTGGGGCAAATAGGAGGCTGGTGGCAAATGCTCGATCTCCCCTGAAGCAGAATTGGAGTCTGGTTGTGCAGGCTGAGCAAGAGGCTGAAAGCGAAGACAGAGCCTATTGGAAGGTAGCCAGGAGACCAGACAAGAGGAAGACAAGGTCTCTCAGCCAGAGGGTGATGGTACCAGCACATAAACTCAGGAGGCAGGACTGGAGACCAGCATTGATTAGGACCCCTCAGGAGGCAGAGCAGGAGACCATAGGTGAGAACCCACTAGAGGATGAACTGGAGACTAATGGCATGGTTGAGGACTCTGCAGGTATTCCTTTTGAGGGAGACGGGAGAGGCTGGTATGTCTCAGACAGTAGATATGTTTTTCAGAGTTCACCATATTCGGGGCATACTTACGTAATCACAGACTACAGAGAGACAGCTTTCATTGCTTCTCCACAACTATTAGCTACCAGCTTAACCTCTGCACTATTGTTAAAAAAATCAAGAGTGTACGTGTTATCAACCCGAATCAACGTCACTCCACCTGGTTCACTGCTTCAGTCACACCACATTGCTCTGATCGCACCATGTGCATGCAAGTATATATGTGTATTTTTGCGCATGAATATAAAGACCCACCCCAGGAGACAGAATCCGAGCAAACACGAGTGGTTCAAAACAATAAAGCAACCTGCGTCTGGCACTGCCTCTTAAGTTCAATGAATCCCTTCTATCCCTGATAGAAAGGTTGATTCTGAATTTTCCAGAAAACAACTTATTTTTAATATCACTTTTAAATATATATATATATCAATTTATTCTGTGCACTATTTTTGGACTTTTTTATTTATTTGTCGATTTTCTGTAGAGTGATTTATCCTGAGAAACACAACTTGCTCCCCCCCCCTTGTGAAACAAATCCTCCTGTGAACTTCATACATCCAAATTCCTCAGTCTAATTTAAGAAGTGACACACTTTCCCCCTCCCAGTCACATCCCCTCTAGTCAGTGTCTTACTCTGCTCTCATCCTCTTCCCACCTTCTCCCTTCTCTCCGTTTTGACCTAATCCTCCTTTTTTTGGGGTCACAGCTTCAGAATTGATTACATTTAGGGCAAGTACTGATACATTTGAAGAAAAAATAATTCTCAAGATTAGGGAAATAAATTGATTTGCACTCTTGTAAAGGTTAAGTGTGTAGGATTAAGCTGCATCTAGTGGTGAAGTTTACAGTGTAACTAACTGAACTTCGCCCCCCTTCCAAAATGTATCGGAGAACTACGGTGGCCTTCTTGTGTCAACCACCACATCTAGCAGTCTTCTCTCAAATTTTGCAAGCTAACATTAGCAAAGTAACACGATATTTGTCTAGTCAGACAACAGGTAGACGGTGCCAGCAGGATACATATGTTTTCTGCATTTACAGACTGAGCTGCGGAGAGGGTAGAGGATGAGGGAGAGGAGGAGGACAGAGGCAGGGTCAGAGGGTGAGGTGAGGGAGAGCTCCCAAAGCAGCAGCTGCAGGGAGGAAGAGGAGAGATTGAAGCACCGCAATCTGAGCTGTACCAACACAGGTTTGTATTTTTGAAACAAATATTTATTATAATCCTATGTGGTGTGCATATTATCAACAAGAACGACTTGATGCACGCAAAATGGTGTTTATGGCTGAGTATTGATTTTGTAATGTATGTGTGTGTTGCACGTGAGTCGTTGCCTGTAAAACATCAGTGACACAGCTGAATAATTATATGAATACTCCGTAGGGATTATTGTTTTAGATACGTTGAATAAAAAACATTACAGCCTACAAGCCCTATTCACTCCCATCATCATATAACCAACATTATATCATGCAAATAATAAGCTTTATCTGTGTTTTTCCTTTGTTTGTCATCAGAGACTTAGTCAAGAGGGACTGCCCAACTAAGCAGCCAGGGTTACTTTAGAGCCTTGATGATGCATCAGTGGGGGACAGTGTGGGGGACCATGGTGTGCCATGGCAACTGTAGGGACATACTTACAGACCGAGAGAAGAAATGCTGTGGCCAGCATCCTGAAAACAGGACTGCACTTCTCCCAGTGCTATCTTGAGTTTATGTATTCACAGGTAGTAATTAGAGGATGTCATGGTATCAGGCCATATTAGAGAGCCTAGGGGTGACTAGAGGGAGTACTGTTATGCAGAATTTTGTTACATGCAACGTGGCACTCAAGCCAAATAAACCATTTGCTGGGTTTGGAGGGTCTGGGACAAG